TTTTATATTTTTTAAATTCAATTTTCAGTTCATTCAGTTCATCCAGAGGTGATGCCATTGTAGAGGGTTTTTTTTTAAAAAAAAGCCCGGTTTGTAGGGCTTCGGCAACAGGCAGGAATCCGTGATCGTGCGCGGTTTCTGCCTGGGCTCGCCGCTGGAGCACCCCGAGCCAGCTGTCTTCGGGGCTAAGCCACCCCGTAGAGGTGGTGAAGATGGAGGAGATCCAGCAGGGTCGAGGGGAGCTGCACCTCTCCTCCTCAGCTGGCTAAACTCCCTTTCCCGAAGGCGGTAAGAGCGGCGGTCAGAAATGGCCGCCTCAAAGAAGCACTCAGCCGGAAAAGAAAGTGCAGGAGCAAGTTATGAAGTGAAAGGTTTTGGCTGACCGGGACAAAAAGTAACAACCAAGGTACCCTGGAATTTAAATTTTGCAAAAGATACATCGCTCCCAAAGAAGAGTCGGAAGCAGCGAACGAAAGTGAAAAGGGAAAGTTTTTTTTTCTTCACTCTCCTTCCTGACACTGATAACGAGAAGATCTGAATAAAGAAATCGGAAAAATCCACTTTGGCACCAACAGGTAATTAAGCTGGAAATATAATTAAATGCCAAAGGGACAATAAAGATTTCTGAACACTAAAAAATTCTTTTTTTGCTATAAGTGGGAAGGGAGAGGAAAAGAATAAGGGCAGGACTTGGAAGGAGGAGACTGCTTGGAATTCAAGAGAATTTAAAGTTAAATCTTAACAAGACTTCTAAAGGATACATTTTAACTGGAACTTTGCAACTAAATAGTAACCCCAAGAAGAGAAAGTGAAAAAAGAAGAAAGTGTTAAAAGAAACAGCTTGCGTGTATTTGGATTGTTTGGTGATTTTGAGACTTTTGGAAATCATATTTGAATGACTAAAAACAATTGGGTGGTTGTTTAAAAAAAAAAGAAATTTCATTTTAATGTAGGCCAATTAGTGTACATGTCAAAGTGACAATAAAGTTATTTGAAGTTCTCTCGCAAAAAGCACACAGCCGATTTATTCAGTCTGGCTGTTTCCCAAAGGAACCATTACTGGCCTCAATGCTGAAGGCCCTCTGCGACATAGTATTTGTGCTAAGGAGCCCCAGAAGAGGAGTTACAACTGGGAATGAACTCTCGGCCAGACAGGAATTCCGGAGCAGTGCAATAAAACAAGGGACAAAATTGCTGACTTCTCAGTCGTTGGCTGGCATTTCTCCTTATAGGGAAGTAAAAAAACAACATCAGGATTTGCTCTTGCTACAACCCCAAATTAGCCTGACAATTGTCATGCGGACTTAAGCAGTGAGCCCTCAACTTACGACCACAATTGAGCACAAAATTTCTGTTGTTAAGCAAGACATTTGTGAGGTGAATATTTATGACTGTTACTATGTCATGTGATCCCCTTTTGCGATTTTCTGATAAGCAAAGTCAATGGGGAAACTAGATTCACTTCACAACTGGGTTACACTCTTATCTACTGCAGTGATTCACTTAACAACTGAGGCAAGAAAGGTCGTAAAATGGGGCAAAAGTCACTTAACAAATGTCTCACTTAGCAACAGAAATTTTTGAGCTCAGTTGTGGTTGTAAGTTGACGACTACCTGTATCATTTTAGAATAGAATAGAATAACAGAATTGGAAGGGACCTTGGAGGTCTTCTAGTCCAATCCTCTGCTTTGGCAGGAAACCCTTCACCACTTCAGACAGATAGTTGCCCAATCTCTTCTTAAAAACTTCCAGTGTTGGAGCATTCACAACTTCTGGAGGCAAGTTGTTCCACTGATTAATTGTTCTGTCAGGAAATTTCTCCTAAGTTCTCCGTTGCTTCTCTCCTTTATTAGTTTCTTGAATGGAGTTTATATGTTTGTAGATATCCTGGGTTTCATACAGCAACTCAAGAGATCATTCATACCACTCCCTTCTCCTGTCATCATCCCTCAATAACAATCCTTTGGCTGGCCACAGAGAAATTAAACTAGATATTGGATTTTTCCAGTGCCAGTCCAACATTTTAACCAACAAGGATCAATGTCAAAAGCTAAACCTCAGGTTTTTAAAAAAAACATTTGGTAGCATTAATACAACAATAGCAGCCTAAGCTGGTTTTCACAGCCAAGTTGTGTAGAGGAGGGAATTCTCCAGTTGGAGCCACAAAAATTAAGAGAATTCCAGTCCCTCCCAGTTTGTGCCATCTTCCCTCAGCTTGGTGATTCCCATTTTCGAGCAGTTCTCCTGTTCATAGAGGGGATTGTCGCCCCAGGTGTCTATCACAAGTCACAATGTGACTTAAGCAAATTGCATAATTACACAATTTGTGTCATTGGTATGATGATGTCAGGCTGCACAGGACAGGATTTGCCCCCTGGCAGGTGCCTGTTGTGATCACCATGGGGAAAAATGAAGATGTTGTTGGCTCCCTGGGGTATCAGTATCAGTTCTTCCAACCACAAGGTCTTGGCTAAGAGAATATCTTAGCCTTCAGAAGAAAGTGACATTTCCAAAGTTGCCAAAGTAACGATCTTTGTCAAGAGCAATGCAGACAAACGTGTTATTATTGCCTTCGCAAGTGGAAGTAAGGAAGAACAGGCAGCATAGGGAACACAGGGAAACTGAGTTAATCTATCTTCCCATTTTATGCAAATAATCCATACAAACTGATGTTCCCTTAAAGAAATGAGCTTAAGGCTAAGTAGACATAATAAGATTTTATTAGAGTTTTAGCTCACCTTTGTTACTTTATACATAACTCACGGTGGCTAACATAGTAATATTCCTTCCTCCTCTTATTTTCCTCACAACAACAAGAACCACTCTGTGAGGCATCGGGCTGAGAGAGAACTTTCATGCCTAGAAACTTTCATTCACCTGGTGATTGGCCCAAAGTCTTCCAGCCAATCTTCATGCCAAGGTAGCAATAGCAATAGCACTTAGACTTAAATATCCCTTCACATTGTTTTATAGCCCTCTCTAAGCGGTTTACAGAGTCAACCTATTGCCCCCAACAATCTGGGTCCTCATTTTATCCACCTCAGAAGGATGGGAGACTGAGTCAACCTTGAGCCTGGTGAGATTCGAACTACCAAATTGGAGGAAGCCGGCAGTCAGCAGAAGTAGCCTGTTGTACTACTGTGTTGTAATCACTGTGCCACTGCCCTTCATAGGACTAGAATTCACTGTCTCCTAGTGATTAACCCAAAGTCATTCAGCCAGCTTTCATGCCTAAAGTGGTACTAGAACTCACTGTCACCTAGTAATTGACCCAAAGTCACCCAACCAATATTCATGCCTGAGGTGGGACTAGAACTCACAGTCTCCTGGTTTCTAGGTCCACATTTTAACCACATTTTAACCCAAACTACTCTACAGTACTTGCAGTGGGAATCTAAGCTCAGCAGAGCAAACTGATTTATGCATGACTCCAAACATATTTTTTATTATTTTTTTCCTTCATCTGTATAATTGTTGGTTATTTATTTGGCTTGTGTACTATTCTTCCTAAAATAATTTGCAAAACGTGCAGTGGGGCATGAGGCCAGGAAGTCCTCGCTTAATTATTGTAACACTCAATTACTGCCTTTTCTGAATTTGTGGTTCTGCTTTTCTAATTGTGCACCCTTATAGATAGAAATATTTTTGAGCAGGGACCCCTCTCCCAAGACACAAGGATATATAGCAATAGCACTTAGATTTATATGCCACTTTATAGTGCTTTACAGCCCTAGTTTAATGAAAATAAGGACTAAGGGGTGACATGATTAGCAGTGTTCCTATAGCTCAGGGGCTGCCACAAAGAAGAAGTCAACTTATTCTCCAAAGCACCTGAAGGCAGGACAAGAAGAAATGGATGGAAACTAATCAAGGAGAGAAGCAACCGAGAACTAAGGAGGAATTTCCTGACAGAACAATTAATCAGTGGAACGGCTTCCCTCCAGAAGCTGTGAATGCTCCAACACTGGAAGTTTTTAAGAAGAGATTGGACAACAATTTGTCTGAAGTGGTGTAGGGCAGGCCTGTCAAACTGGTGGCCTATGGGCTGGGTGTACCTTATGTGCAGGCCATGCCCACCCCGGCTCCACAAAGGCCAAAAACAAAGTGCTACACATGATACGTCATGTGATGTGATCGAGTTGGACATCCGTGATATAGGGTTTCCTGCCTGAGCAGGGGGTTGGACTAGAAGACCTCCAAGGTCCCTTCCAGCTTTGTTAATCTGTATTCTTTTATCTTTTGAAAATCACCCAGGTTTATAATCATAATTTAGAGCAGAGTATCCCAATCTTGCGGGTCCGGGGGAGGGGAGACTGGGCAGAAGACTTTACGTGCACATGTGCACATGTGAATAGTGCTGCAAGTGAGGGCAAAACACAAATGGGTCCATGAGTGCAACGCTCACTGTGACACTAGTGCAAGAAGGGGAATGAGTACATGCACTGGCCAGCCATTCACATGGCCCGGTGGCCAACAGACCACAGCCCAATAGTGGGCTGGGGCCCATAGGTTGGGGATCCCTGATTTAGAGTCTCCCCAAATTAGGGGATGCGGTGGCTCAGTGGCTAAGACGCTGAGCTTGTCGATCAGAAAGGTTGGCAGTTTTGTGGTTTGAATTCCTAGCGCTGCATAACGAAGTGAGCTCCTGTTACTTGTCTCAGCTTCTGCCAACCTAGTAGTTCGACAGCATGTACAATGCAAGTAGAAAAATAGGGACCCCTTTGGTGGGAAGGTAACAGAGTTCCATGCGTCTTCAGCATTTAGTCATGCCAGCCACATGACCACGAAGACGTCTTCAGACAGCGCTGGCACTTTGGCTTTGTAATGGAGATGAGCACCGCCCCCTAGAGCCGGAAACGACTAGCATGTATGTGCGAGAGGAACCTTAACTTTTAATCAAATTAGAAAATGTAATGAACAAAAAAGGAAAGAAAATGAGGGTCTGGATTGGGGTATATCTTTAGAACAACACCTTCCAATGAATTTCTTTTCCTTGCAGTTCTATGTGCTGGGGGTTATTCTGGCCCCCATTCGAGTTGCGTTGGCTTTTGTGGTCCTCTTCCTTATCTGGCCCTTCGCCTTGCTCCAAGTGGTGGGATTGCCTGAAGAAACCTTGCAAGAACCCTGCTCAGGATGGAGAAAGTAAGTAATGGGAAGGGCCCCCTCTCAGCTCTCCTTTGGACTCTTTGCTTGCAGTCCTCTTAACGCCTCCTGCTTTTTTTGCCCTTCTTCTTCCTCATCCATTTTCAGCACAGTTTCTCATGGTTCGGTCTATTGGCTGAGTCGCCTGATGTTTTTCTTGCTTGGGTTCATGAGGATCCGGGTGCGAGGTCAGAGGGCATCCCGGCTCGAGGCACCCATCCTGGTGGCTGCTCCTCACTCCACCTTCTTTGACCCCATTATTTTGCTGCCCTGCGATCTTCCCAAGGTGGTGTCACGCACAGAGAATCTCCATGTGCCGGTCATTGGAGGTAAGGCTACTTAAGATAGCTGGGGATAGGGGGTGAGTAGGTCAAGGAGACTCATGTAGGCAGTAGAACTTTCATTTGGAAGTTTTATATGCATTGCATCTCTACATCTGGTACACCATTTGGGCTTTAGAGTACAGTACTGCAGGCTACTTCTGCTGCCTGCCAGCTGCCTACGTTTTTGCAATTTGGCAGTTCAAATCCCACCAGGCTCAAGGTTGACTCAGCCTTCCATCCTTCCGAGGTGGGTAAAATGAGGACCCAGATTGTTGGGAGCAATAGGTTGACTCTGTAAACTGCTTAGAGAAGGCTTTAAGGCACTGTGAAGCGGTGTATACGTCTTAAGTGTTATTGCTATTCTAGTCCTCATGATGGTGAAAATATCTGCAGTGGTTAGTGCAGTGGGCATTTTAACACAATAACATTATCCATAGGAATAGAATAGAATAGAATAGAATAGAATAGGAATAGGAATAGGAATAGGAATAGGAATAGGAATAGGAATAGATAGAATAGAAATAGAATAGGATAGGAATAGAATAGAATAGGAACAGGAATGAGAATAGATAGAATAGGAATAGAGTAGGAATAGGAATAGAATAGGAATTGGAATGGAATAGGAATAAGAATAGGAATTAGAATAGATAGGAATAGAATAGAATAGAATAGAATAGAATAGAATAGAATAGAACAGAACAGAACAGAACAGAACAGAATAGAATTCTTTACTGGGCAAGTGTGATTTGGACACATAACTTCCCTGTTCTTGGAGTGAAGCTTGATTTCACCCTCAAATGTCTAAAAGAATAACATTTGGGGACTTAGATTTTGGGGTCATATTGGGGGTGCAAACATCCCACTGATTGTCAGATGGCAGTAAAGGGTTGGCATATCTTTATATCTTTGCCACTATGAAATGGTAGCAAATGCTCTTGTGGCTTGGATTTCGATCACACTGATTTGCTTGCTCCATATCCGTTGCTACCTTGTGCTGATTTTAACACTGTCATTCGTTAAAATGGGATGAAGCCTTTGGACTGATCCTCAGGAGTTTATGAACTTATAAAGCATTCGTTCCCTTGACACCTTTGGATTTCATGAAGCAAATTACATACAGCAGTCACAACAAAAGGAACCTATATATTTATTTACTGATTAGCCTATAGACCCATGATGGCGAACCTATGGCACACGTGCCATAGGTGGCACATAAAGCCATTTGTGCCGGCACGCGAGCTGAAGGCAGACTTACCTCACTGCGCATGTGTGTACCTCACAGCTGATTTTCAGCTTGTTTGAGGCCTTTTTCAGCCTCCCAGAGGCTTGAGGACAGCTTCTGCAGCCTTTGCAGGCCAAAAAAATAGGCCCATTTCATCACTTCCTGTAATACCGGAAGTGATGAAACGAGCTTATTTTTTGGCCTGCAAAGGCTGAAGAAGCTGTCCTCAAGCCTCTGGGAGGCCAAGAAAGGCCTCAAACCAACTGAAAATCAGCTAGGAGGCGCAATGCAGGTAAGGGAGCGGGGGGGGGGGGGGGATTGCTTGCGCATGCGTGGGGGGACGCGTGCATTGCCTTCTTGGGTGCTAGCACAATTTTTGGCACAGGAGCCCAAAAAGATTAGCCACCACTGCTATAGGCTATGTCAACATATAGTCCCAACATATATCACCATTAACGTTCTAAACAAACAAATTGAAATCACAAATTTTGATCACATGACCATGGGGATGCTGCAATGGTTATAAGTGTGAAAAACAGCTATACGTCGTTTTTTTCAGTGCCATTGTAACTTTGAACGGTCAATAAATGAACTATTGTGAGTTGAGGACTACCTGTATTGCTTCCTTTGGGAAAATATTTCTCAGGCCAACTTTCTGGCAGTGACTCAGAAAAGCTTTATTATTTTATTTTATTTTATTTTATTTTATTTTATTTTATTATTTTATTTTATTTTATTTATTTTATTTATTTTATTTATTTTATTATTTTATTTTATTTTATTATTTTATTTTATTTTATTTTATTTGTCGATTGCTTACAAGATAATAGAGATAAGAATAAACATAAGTATAAATACAGGAAATAGGTACGAATAATTGGGGACAATAGGACAGGGACGGTAGGCACGATTGTGCGCTTATGTATTATTATAATATAATATATTATATATTGTGCACTTTGCAATCACTTGTCCCTCTCTCCCCCCTGTGCTCACCCCCTCCAGCCCTGCTGAGATTCAATCAGGCCATCCTGGTTTCCCGCCATGATCCAGCTTCTCGCAAGAAAGTGGTGGAAGAAGTGAAGAAACGAGCAACATCCCAGGGGAAATGGCCACAGGTAAAACTTATTGGAGGACCCGATCCATTAAGTTAATGTAGTTCCTCTTTGATTTGAGAGGGTTAAAGGTTCCTCTCTTGATTTGTGTGACCTCTTTCTCCAGGTGCTTTTCTATCCCGAGGGCACCTGCTCCAACAAAAAAGCCTTACTGAAGTTTAAACCAGGTAAGACATCATTAGCAAGTCTGTTCAATGGGTGTAAAACAATGGATTGGTTGTACAAATCCATTAACTAGCATTGAAGATTGCCCCGCCTTAAACTAACTGATCCAAAAAGACAACTCTTTATGGTTGATGCAACAATTAAGCCCTTTTGTAGCCTACTTTGAAAAGCAGACAGGGTGTCCAATTATCTTAAGTCTAATCTCTTTTGAAAACTGGAGGGGAAAAACAGACTTTCTTTTTGCATTGATTTGGGTAAAAGGCTTGTGAGTATCCTAACCCTTCAACCTTAAAATATACCTTAGATTCACCTTCAGCACTCAGGTTAAAAAAAAAGGTAAAGAAATCCCTGCGGATTTTTACTCTGCTTGTCATTGCCAACTATAAGGGGCAGTTCTCATCTCCGTTTCAAGGCCATTGGGCCAGCACTGTCGGGAGACATTTCCATGGTCATGTGGCTAGCATGATGTCATGGAGTGCTATTACCTTCCCGCCGAAGTGGTACCTGTTTATCTACTTGTATTTGCCTGCTTTCAAACTGCTAGGTTGTCAGGAGCTGGAATGAGGAGAGGAGCTCATCCCGTCACATGGCACTCAGGTCTTGAACCCAAGTTGCCAGCTTTCCAGCCGATAAACCCAGACTCTTAACCACTGAGCCATTGCGCCATTCTTTTAGCCAGCAGGACAGATTAAATCTTGAGCGTGTTTGCTTTATGTTCTCAGGTGCCTTCATATCTGGTGTTCCCATTCAGCCGGTTCTCATTCGCTACCCCAACTCTGTGGTGAGTTTTCACGAACTTTAAGAGAGAGTCTTAATATTGTAATCATTATAGATAATCCTCAATTTACAGCCACAATTGGGTTCAGAATTTCTATTGCTAATTAACATGGTTGTTAAAATGAGTTGTGCCCAATTTTACCACCTTTTTTTTTTACCATAGTTGTTTAAGTGAACCACTACAGTTGTTGTCTAGAGAGATTCTCAGCCATCCAGGTCATGATTGTCCCAAACAGCCTTCCCCCATGTTCAACAGTGAAGGGACACAGGGCAGAAATATCCTGCAGAAAGCACAGCTCCACAACATAGTCCATTTAGCAGTTCCAAGAAGGCTGCACACTCAATTGTACTACTCAGGTGACCCGGTGGACACAGATAAACCTCCAAGTGGCCTCAACAACTCTCTAAGCAATACAAAGCAAGTTTATTACAGTCAAAAACCAGAGACCGGAACAAATAAAAACACTCAAGTAGTATCCAGTTAAAAGTTTTAGAATAAAGTAATAAATAACAGATAAAATCTATATTAAAATCTCAAGTTGGCATCCAATCTGTTAGTTAAACACATGGCCTAACTATACTATAATATCAATCTTTAAACTGTGAGGCCCATAGTCATTAAATACTAAAATGCAAAAAATAATGCAAAAGGATTTGCTACATTAGTTGTGTAAAATAGCTATGGTGGATTAATCACGTGTTTCCGACAAATCTCCAGTGCTGTTACTCGGAATCTAGCTACCTGTGCTGCTATCACAGTCTGTTCATGCTTAAGCAGCCACTGGAGATAGATTCTCTAAAAGAATGCAAATGACCAGCTGGCTTCAAGAAATATAAAACCTTCCATTCCCCACCATCCTGTCAGAGCTGAAGAAACTTCTTGGATGAGAAGTGAAACACCTTAAAAACAAACAAACAAGAAAATCCAGTTGCCTCTTGAAAAAAACCCACCTTTGGGACATTGCAATTGTAAAGTGCCATGTTTCCCCCAAAATAAGACCCAACTGGAAAATAAGCTCTAGTGTGTTACAGGATGCTCATAATATAAGCACTACTCCAAAAATAAGCTCCTGTTAAGATTGTCAAGACAGACACATTTAGTATCATATTTCCTTGAAAATAAGACCTAACCCAAAAATAAGCCCTGGTACATCTTTTGTAGCAAAAATTAATATATGACACAATCTTATTTTCAGGGAAACATGGGTAGGTCAAACAATCATTAAGCAATCTAGCTCTCTCTTCCAAATGGGCTTTGTCTGTTGGAAGCCATCAGGGAAGGTTGCATATGATGATCGTGTGACCTTGCAGAAACTATCATAAATACTTGCCAGTTGCTGAGCACTCAAATGTTTATCATGCAATAATGGGGACCAGAGGTGGTATTCAGTAAGTTCTGACCAGTTCTAGAGAACAGGTAGTGGAAATTTTGAGTAGTTCGGAGAACTGGCAAATATCACCTCTGACTGGCCCTGCCCCCATCTATTCTCTGCCTCTCGAGTCCCAGCTGATTGGCTGGGTCTTTTGTTGCTCTGCACAGAAGAACAGAGCTGGAAAGCGGGTTAATGGGTAGGGAGGGAATAGAGATTTTGCAGTATCCTTCCCCTGCCACGTCCACCAAGCCACACCCACAGAACCGGTAGTAAGAAATTTTGATGGGGACTCTGCAATGGTCATTTGTACAAATATCAGTTGTAAATTACTTTGTCAGTGTCATTGTAACTTTGAACAGTCGCTAAATAAATGGTTTTAAGTTGAGGACTCTCTATACTTGATGCCAGAGAAAACTGGCTGAGTGTTTTTTATCTGCATTTTTGAAGCTGGCTTGTCTAAGTAATTGTTATGCTAGATTGTCCCAAAGGTGCTTTTTCAAGAGGCAGTTGGACTTTCTGGTTTTCCTTTGAAGACCAGTAAGTCCAGTTGCCTCTTGAAAAAGCACCTTTGGGACAACCATGACCTGGATGACTGAGAATCTCCATAGATGTTAAGCTAGATTGGTATTTAACTTAGTGTAAGTTTATTAGTGCTTATAAAAATGGCAGTGGAGAAAGCAGCTCAAGAGCCCCTGGAGGTTTTTCTGTGTCTTCAGGGTTACCTTCCTTCAGTAGTGCAAGTGGGTGTGGAACTTTCTTATGGATTATATGGATCTCTCTTATGGACCATGCCACTTTGTTAGATCAAACTAAATACCTCCTTTTTCTTTTCTTTTTTACAGGATTCAACCACGTGGGCATGGAGAGGACCTGGAGTGTAAGTTCCTAATAATGGTTTTATAATAGTGGGTGGTTATGTGTATTCCCCATGTCAGCGAGACCAAGTCTGAGTCAATTTCCATTTCTTCTTCCAGGTTAAAAGTCATCTGGTTGACTGCATCTCAGCTTTGCACGACTGTAGAAGTAGAGGTAACAAGAAAAGAGGGGAGTTTGTGATCATTCAAAGAATGACTCTTGGAGTCATTCTTTGGTGCCTTTTCTGTTTCACAGTACTAACTGTACTTTGTTCAAAGTACAATTTTATTTGTAAGCCTCACATTTTTTTTCTCTGGAGCTAGATTCACACTTTGGCTTTGAATGCTGTGTTGGGGCCCCACTCCCAAAAACAGTGGATGGGAAATTTCTCTCTTCTGCCATATTAAAAATTACAATTTCATGTAGACTTGGGCACTCAGATTCTAGTCTTCAGATTGGCCTACAATCTCTCTTAAAGTTGATGCCATTTTCTTGACAATCCCAGATTTTGCATATTATAGCTCAGTTCTCCAGGAATTAAATTTTTTCTTTAATTCTGATTTTTTCTTCCTTTCCAGTTTCTCCCAGTTTATCAACCCAGCCCTGAAGAGGCTGTGAACCCCACACTATATGCTAACAATGTCCAGAAAGTGATGGCCAAGTGAGTTTGGAGATGCTTTTTGTAAACAGGGAGTTTAGGGTGCAACGGAAGGATAGGCTCAACATTATAAGAAATGATCAGAAGATGTTGTGACTGGTTTGGGATCCAGGTTCTGTGTGCTGCTAAAACTGAGCTCTGAAGACTTGAGAAGACACCTGGAAAAACTGAATTTATAGTAGAGAAAATCTAAGGCTCTTGATAGTTGACCAGACTAGAAGAGTTGGCCAGTTCATTAATATTTATGGCAAAATCTATCAATGCAGAGGTTTCCCCATCTTGCTAGGCTTTGAAATCTGATCTACAGGATGCTAGCTTGGGGTCCCTGGTGGTCTCAACAAGAGACTAGAAGCCAAAATTTATTCTCTGGAAAATATACTGAGGTGTAATGGAAGAACTACTGTAAACCTGGTTCTTGGTGCACAAGACATTTCCCTTCTTGCTTGATGAATCTGTTTCCCCCTAAGACTCTTCTTGTCCTTATGTTATTTCCCTCTTTAACTAGAGCCCTGGGGATCCCTGCCACAGAATGTGAATTTGTGGGCAACCTTCCAGTGACTGTCGTAGGGCGCTTGAGAGTAGCCTTGGAGCCACGGATCTGGGAACTGGGGAAGGCTCTCCGGAAGGCCAGGTAAGGGGTAACTGGGACAAGGAAAGAGCTTTGTTGGATGAAATCAATGGTTGACTCTCATCCTCCATCCAGCTTTGCCACAAGACAGGCCTCCTTTGATAGATTATGGGTCTTTCTCTCTCTTCTTTCTCTCCCCCTTTCTTCCTTTTTCTATGTTTTTGTTCTGTATATTGTTACTACATTCAAAAATTCTAATAAAAAAATATAAAATAGTCTGTCAGTCAAGGTGGTCTATCCAGTTATAGGATAATTGAAGAAAACATGGTTAAGTACTGGTAAATCAGGGTTCTATTCCTCCCCCCACCCTTTCCCATCAGTGAGTATACAAATTTATTCTATTCCGGTTAAGCTAATGTGCATTTTTGTTTGTTTGTTTCAGTGTTCCGGAATACCTGTTATCACTGGATATTGTACAATATTATACTAACAAAAGCAATGTTTTGCTTTTATTCTTTCCTACCTCAAAGTATTTTGGAAAGAAATTAATTAACTAAGAATTTGGATTGTTTGTCACCACAGTAACTCTCGAAGAGAATAGGAAGACTCTGTGGGGGAAAGAAGCCCCCACCCCTCCAAAAGAAAGACTAAGTTCAAAAATGGCTCAAGGATTGAGAGAACACAGTCGCCCCACCAAATTCTCCCAGCACATCTTTCCTAAGTTCTGGTCACAGCACAAAGTTCAGCATATGCAACGAAACCCCGTGCTTTCCTGTTCACAATAGATATAAAAAGAAAAATGTTTATGTGTCACATTGTTTAACAAGCATATTGTTTCTTTATATACAAGAAAATATGGATAGTGTAGGAAATGAGCAGGCTGAGCCTGAGAGGGGTGGAGTCAAACACATTATCAGTTTAGAATCCTTACCAGCAGTGGGATCCTATCTGTTCTTCTATCGGTTCGGTGATTGCATGCGCACACGCACAGCTTTCCCCACACTAACTGAGGCCTGTGGGGCCAATTAGCTGAGAGGAGAAAGAAAAGCGCTGGGGCAGGTGGGACGGCTGATCCTGCGCTTTTCTCTTCTTTCTCCTCTCAGCTGATTGTCCTAGGACAGTGGTGGCTAACCTTTTTCGGCTCCTGTGCCGAAAATTGCGCAGGCACTCACGTGCGCATGCTCGAATGCCAGCACCCAGAAGGCAATGCGTGCTGGCCCCCCCACACCGCCTGCGCATGTGCACGCAACCCCATGTGCATTGCGTATCTCTGCGCATGTGCAGATGACCCCCCTGCACACTATGCATCTCTGCGTATGCATGCACGGTCCCCCCTGTGCTGTGCATCTCTGCGCATGCACATCAGACCCCCGTGCGCGCTGCACATCTCCCACGCACCCCCACACCCCACACATGCGCACCAGATACCCAACAATCAGCTGTTGGGCGCCGACACCCATGCACATGCACAGTGGGGCTCTTCTGGGTGACCGGTCATGTGCTGGCAGAAGTGGTTCTACATTCCACTTCTGGCACGTATGCCATAGGTTCGCCATCACAGTCCTAGGATTTTTTCCTCCTCTCAGCTGATTGTAGGAGGCTTTTTTTTAAACTACCTGATCGGCCGAATTGGGCTGAACCCTCCTGAACCGGTAGCATGCCACCAGGGGTGGGATTCTACCAGTTCGCATCTATTCGCTAGAACCAGTTGTTAACATTCTAAGCAGTTCGGAGAACCAGTTGTTAGAAGAAATTACTGGCCTAATCCTGTAAGGAAGGCAGGAAGGAAACATTCTGGTGTTGCTTACAGAAACTGCCTCTCCGTTAACCTTTATTACATTCTTGGCAGGACTAGACTTCCTGTCTCAGGAACTTCTTTGGAGTTTTTTCCCCTTCCTTTGCTGGCACTTTGCTTGTGTGGAGTGACCATTCAAAGTTACAATGGCATTGAAAAAAGTGACTTATGACCATTTTTCACACTTACCACTGTTGCAGTATCCTGACAATCATGAGAGGCCAGGCGAGGAGACGTGTGCCTCGATGTGAGTGATGTTGAGTTGGCCACGCCCAGCCAATAACATGACCACCAAGCCATGTCCACCCAGTCACATGACCACCAAGCCACACCCACCACCTAAGCCACGCCCACAGAATCAGTTGTTAAAAATTTTGAATCCCACCCCTGCATACCACACTGATCCTTATGTAGACACAAGTGACCTAAGTCCAGCCCTGGTGTGAATTCCATTGACTTCTTAACTAGTGCCAATTTGCCTTGACCATTAGTGGGTCAAATTCATGTAGCGTGAAATAAACTCATAGTATTTTTGAACACTATCCCAGCTCCTGGTTTTTTTGCACCCGACAGAGACCTCTTGTGGCTGCTGCTGCTAAGCGGTCTGACAAACTTCCCTGGCCTCACTCCTTTTCATCTTTGCAATTATCTCAATCCACAGATACCTAACGGAGGGGATCAAATACAACTTGGATGCGCTTCCTGTCGGCACTTCGGGGCAGGTGGGACCAAATGAGTTTGCCCACTGGCTGGGACTGGCCAGTCCTAAAGCTGTGGAAGAGATCTGCATCTATTTCCAGCAGGTAAGCTAGAATAGGAAGAGGAGTACGAGTAGTCCTTGACTTACGACCACAATAGAGATCAACATTTCTGTGGGTTAAGTTTTGAGTTTGCCCCATTTTATGGCCTGGCTTGCCACCGTGGTTGTGAATCGCTGCAGTTGTTCAGTTAGTAACACAGTTATTAAGTGAATTCGGTTTCCCCCCATTGAGTTTGCTTGTCAGAAGGTCATAAAGGGGGATCATGTGACCCTGGGCCACTGTAATTGTCATAAATAGGAGCCAATTGTCATGCCTCAGAATGTAAATCAAGTGACTATGGGGATGCTGTGATGGACATAAGTGTGAAAAGTGGCCAGTTTTCAGTTTCTGGGTGTACCCTAAAAGAGGACCTGACCTGGGGTGCTCACATTGCAGCCCTGGTCAAAAGCAGAGATTATACTACCTGAGACTTCTCAGAAAACAACAACTGAATGAAAAACTGCTGGTGACCTTCTACCGCTGCACCTCTGTATGGTTTGCCAATTGCACAGGGGCAGATAGGAAAGCACTCCAGAGGGTTAACGTCATTCCCAGAAGATCATTGGTTGTCCTCTCCCATTTATAGCCCCCGCTGCCTTAAGAAAGTTCAAAACATTCTCAAAGATCCATCTCTTCCTGAGCACCCTTTTTTTGAACTATTACCATCCGGCAGACGGTACAGAATAATAAAAACAAGGACAAATAGGCTGAAACACAGCTTCTATCCCAGGGCAGTAGCTCTTTTGAATTCTGCTGTATAGTGCAGTGTTGGGGGTTTTCGGTTCAATGTGTGGAGTGTGAAGGATGTGTGTTTGTGCTTATTTTCATGGTCATGGTCATGATGTGCACTGAAGATGGTGTCTGATTTCGTTGTATGAAGTGCAATGACAATAAAGTAAAGTAAACTAAACTAAACTAAAAAAATGGTCACAACTCACCTTGGAACTTACAACTCACAACTTGGAACTTCGAATGGTCACTAAAGGAACTGTTGTAAGTCGAGGACTATCTGTGCTACGTGCATAATCAAGAGTGGCTTTCTTCATTCTTTCCCTTTGCCTTCTTCTCTGCACTTAAGCAACTCCGTCATACTTCCTGCTTTGATCCCCAGGATTCCAATGGAAACATGGATGCCCGGGAAGTGTCTTTAGCCCTGGAATCTCTATGGGGAGAACATGACCCACAGCAACTGACACATCGGGCTTTTGAGGTAATGGTTCTGATTAGCTTTGATGGGAAGAGGAAATGAGCTTTCAGAAGGCCAGGTGAGATGTTTTAAGAAGGACTTGGATCCCTGCTGGCTGGCGAATTCTGGAAGTTGAAATCTTCGCATCTTCAAGATGCAATGGTTGAGAAACATTGACTTAGTTCTTGGGCAGGGAGCAACAGAATATGCCAGGGATACTCTGGGAAGTTGAGGGGGGGAAAACAACACCCCCCTCCAAAAAAAAAAAAAAAGACAGTAGCAATCCACTTTCATGTCTCAAAGGTGCTTTTTCAAAAGACAACTGGACTTTCTGTTTTTTCTTTAAAGGTCCGAGGATAAGAAGCAAAACGTATTCAAAGCTTCTTGGACGAGAAGAGAAACATTTTCAAAGAAAAACCAGAAAGTCCAGTTGCCTCTTTAAAAAAGGACCTTTGGGATAACCATGACCTGGATGACTGAGGACATAGACATTAAGCCACTTTCATTTGGCTATTAAGAAAATTACAGGGATCTGTCCAGAGATGGTATTCGGCAGGTTCTGACCAGTTCTGGAGAACTGGTAGCAGAAATTTTGAGTAGTTTGTAGAACCAGCAAATACCACCTCTGACTGGAGCTTTTACAGTGTCCTTCCCCTACCATGCCCACCAAGCCACACCCACGCAACCGGTAGTAAAAAAATGAATCGCACCACTGGATCTGCCCATAATTTTTTCAAAAGTTAAGCTCAATTCAAGATCTTTCTCTCATGTGCAGGAGAAAGTTCTCACAGTGAACTACAGTGAACTTCAACTGATAGCAAAATTGTCCATTGCAATTCTCCCCACTCCCCACTCTTCTGTGCCAAAGGGAGGGGCAGAAAGGAAAAAATATAGATGGGTTTGAATTTTGTTTCTCTAAATAGAGCTTGTTCTTCAAACACAGCAGTCCCTAGAAATTTTTGCCTCGTGGGTTGCTAACTTTATAAATATCGCTCATCAGAAATTACAGATAGTCTTCAACCTATGACCGCAACTGAGCCCAAAATTTATGTGGCTAAGTGAGACAATTGTTAAGTGAGTTTTGCTCCATTTTACAACCTTTCTTGCCACCGTTGTTAAGTGAGTCACTGCAGTTGTTAATCTAGTAACAGTTGTTACATGAATCTGGCTTCCCCATTGAACTTGCTTTTCAGAAGGTCGCAAAAGGGACCTTCACGTGATCCCAGGAGACTGCAACCATCATAAATATGAGTCAGTTTTAATCACATGATTTTAATCACATGAGCACGGAGATGCTACAATGGTCATGTGAAAAATGGTCATAAGTCACTTCATTTCAATGCTGTTATAACTTTGAACTGTTGAGGGCTACCTGTGCTGGATTCTTGTGAATTTCTTGGAATGGTTCCAGTTCTGGGTGGCAAGTGAAGCCCGACATCCAGAATATTTTCTCAGTGAGAAGGTCAAAAGAATGGAAGGGGGCAAGTTGGTAGATACAGAACCTAAAGAGTAGAAGACATAGTGGACATCAAAAGATCAGTAGGGACTGTAGATTTAAAGAAGGTGGAGCTGTGAACGTCAGAGCTCAATAGATTTTGTGAAACGTGTATGAATTTCATTTCTTTGTCAAAGTCTTCTTTATGTTGAACTAGCTCTATGCCTGTGCTTTGCTACAAAACTATGTGATTGGGCTTAGTTTTGTGGGGGGGAATAAGGGGGGGGATTTGTTCCTTTGCCTACCAACATCCATCGATATTCATGTGGCTAGCGTCCTGTCAGTGTGTAACAGAGTTGAAGGCTGTTTGGAAACTGAAACAGTATTTGCTGTGTGAGCAAGGAGGAGGCAGCAAGGAGCCTGGGTGTGGCTTAGCTCAAATGTTCTGTACTAAAGCTGCTTGGTTCTCTGAAACTGAAACTCCTCTGCTTATGTTTTGCATTTGGAACAGATTTCTTTTCAGATGGGAGAGGAAGTAGAACTCTTTGTATCAGAGTGTGTTAATAATTTAGGAAATACTAATGTTCTGATGATCATTTCGAAAAATCCTTTCTTAGTGAGCACCTAGAAGCCAAGAAGAACATATGTGCCAAATTTCAAGTTTGTAGGCTTTATGGTTCTGGAGATTTTGTGATGATGAAAATGGTATTTCGCTTTTATATATAGATTACAGTACAGTGCTAATGTGATTTATAGTCATGTATTGATTGGCACCTTTTCTGTCAACCAGCTATTCTCAGAGGTGGAGGCCAAGACAGGAACCTCTTATCTGCACCAAGATGGATTCTGTGCCATTTTGCGCCTCCTGCTGGGCACTCCAGTTGTGGACGGAGCTGAACTCTATAGCCGACTTTGCACCGAGGACCACAGCCAGGATGGGCTTAACTTTGGTGAGATGGGGCAGGGGGAAGAAATAACAAGATGGGAAGGAAATACCTAGATATGTACAGTAGTAGGTCATCCAAAGGATATTCAAAATCCATGCAGTGAGTCATGGAAGAGAGAAACAGATGGACAAAAGGATATGGGGAGATGAGAAAGAGGAAAGCTATTATATTCTGGCCACTGATATGATATGGAAGCACCGTGAGGGGAGCATAATTTGGATAAGAAGGTTTCCGCCATATGTCCCACACCAAACCTTGTTTCTGTAGGTCGTGGAGACCTCCAAGATCATGTTCCTAGGTTTAAACCGGAACTCTTCCATTTATACAGTAGTTATCTGAGTTGCAGTATGGAAGGAAATGTAGGCAGAAATGCACTTGTTTAGCCTCATTTAAGCCTAGTATGTCTGCTTTGTCTTTCAATACCCTTAACAATCACCCAAAAGATTGAAGAATCTGAAAGTGTAAGCTATTATTAAATTTTTGCACATCTGTATATTCTATATCCCACATGAGATGTTAACATTTTAATATATTTTTTCTTACAAAAAAACACAGAAAGTAGTTCCCTCAGTAATTCATCCAGCCCAATCTTCTCCTGAAAAGCTGTCAACCATGAGATAATATTTAGAGTTCTAGTTAACATGTTAGTTCCCTATACTGATAAAACATAAAAGAGATGTTTTGGCAGTATCGGTAGATAAAGTAAAAAAAAAAAAAAACCTTTGACACGATGCAAATTATGTTTCAGATTTCTACAGATATTATGCATAATTTTTAATCCTTTTGATTGGGAAATTACAAATAGAATTATTTGCATTATAATCAAACTGTGATGCGGGACATTTCAAGATGCCCTTTTAATATGATGTTGGAACTCCAGGTTGTATAGGAAGATAAACTGGCAATATTGCCTGTTCCTCTAATCATGGAATCAATAAGGAAGGTATCCAAGAAAGAGGGGAACTGGCATATGAGCCCCCCTATTATAGAAGGTGGTAATTATTATGTTGCTTCCAAGCAACCCTGCGGTTTTCTTGGCAACATTTTTGGGAATGGTTTGCCATTGCTTTCTTCAAAGGACTGAGAGAGAGGAACTGGCCCAAAGCCACCCAATTGGCTTGGGGCCTAAAGGAGCAGAATCTAATTGAGTTTGGCTGATCTAGAAAAACGGCAGAGCCAAGTTACACCTGGCTAGTTGTTGGATAGACAGCTGCTCGCATGTCTCAGGGCTGTAGGCTAGGCTGGGAAGTCTGAAAAACACCCTGGAAGAAAGCAAATGGCAAACCCACTTCTGTATTGTTACTATAAAAAGCTACCCAGGCAATCAGCATGAATGTCATCTTTGCCTGGGTCAACCCATAAGTGATCTGGGCTGATCTTGGGGGGGAAAAAACCCTTGGTCCTTGGAAGGGAAAACCGCAGAATAATTTCTAGGCTAGGAAGTCAAAAACACATCCTAGAAAAACAGCACAATGACAAGCCACTTATGATAGAAACTACAGAGCAGTGGTCGCCAACCAGTGGGCCAGGGACCACTGGTGGTCCGTGAGAAAATTTTGGTGGTCCGCAGAGAAATGTCACCCCCAAAGCACTTACCCCACAAGCAATTAATCCAGGCTGTGTGGGAACACAAGGCTGCCCTGCCCACATGGTCTGCGGGAACACAAGGCTTGCATTGCATGCATTGCAAACAACATGAGGTAGTGAGGAGAGGGGGAAAGGGCGGAGGGGGGGAACGTGCCTCATGCCCTTGCCTGGCCACCAGTCTGCTTCTTTCCGCTTCTTTCTTTTGCTTTTGGCTGCATGCAAGGAAAGCAGCAAAAGTCTTTCTTTCTCTCCCCCAAACTCCACCAGAAATGAGTCTTTGGGACCCTGCAAGGCATCCTGCTCCAAGAGACTATGCTGGCCTGACAAGTCCCACAAAGACTTATTTCTGGCAGATTTTGGGGGAGAGAAAGAAAGACTACTGCTGCTTTTGCTGCTTTCCTTGCATGAAGCCAAAAGTCTCTCTCTCTCCCACTGAGAACGGAGCTGGAGATGGTATCCTGCAATCCCAAATAAGGAATGATCAATCGGTAGGAAAACGGGGTGGGAAATTTTCCTGCAGATTTTTTTGGGGATTTTCCCAGGGTCTCTGGTCCGCAGGATTTAAAATTATGAGTTTGGTGGTCCCTGAAGTCCAAAAGGTTGGCGACCCCTGCTACAGAGCATTCTCGTGCTCAGATGTCTTTAGAGATTCTTAATCATCCAAGTCATGATTGTCCCAAAGGTGTTTTTCCAAAAGACAACTGGACTTTCTTGGGTTTTTTCTTTGAAATTCTGGACAGAGAAGACCACCGATTTGAAAGAGGGGTTAAAGAAGCCATCTATGTTAAAATTGAACATCCGTCTCTTAACAGTATACGACACCACCTATTTCCTGTCTTGCACATATTTGAACTCTGATTCAGCTGACCTTGAGGGCACAGATAGCCCCACAAGTGGCCTCAATGAGACCTAAGGACCAGATGACTGCAAAGAATATAAATCCTTCCATTCCCCACCAGTCAGTTAAAACTGAGGAAGCTTCTTGGATGAGGAGCAAAATGTTTTCAAAGAAGAAAAACCCAAGAATGTTGCCTTTTGGAATAACACCTCTGGGGCATTCTTGTGGTCATCTAAAGCAAAGCTCTCCAATCTTTTTGAATTGGTGGCCAATGGGGGAGGCAGATGGCTTTATGCACACATGGGTGCACGCAAATAGGGCCGCGAGCACCCGCGCAGTACTTATGGCAACGGTAGTACCCGCATTGCACTTGCAATGACACCAGGGCCTGCATTGCTCTCGCAGCAACTGTAGCACAAGTGGGGGGTGTGCACCAGTGGTGGGATTCAAAAATTTTTATCACCAGTTCAGTGGGCATGGCTTAGTCGGTGCACTTTGTGTGCGCGCACACAGTTTGTGTGAGCGCACACACTTTGTGTGCGCGCGTGTGCCAAACACGCATTTTGTGCAGGCACAAAGGCGTTTGCACAGGCGCGAAGGCATTCCAATTCACTTCCTGCAAGCATGAATTCTCCCGGTTGCTTCAGCAGCTGCCGCGTGGTGTGCCACGCAAAGCAGCTATACTTCAGAAGCAGAGGATAAAGGTGAGTATCAGAGCCCGAGCAGGCTGGTGGGCCCAACAGTAGGGTGGCAAAGAGAACCGGTTCGTTTGCCACTGCTCATTGTCGCTACCGACTCTGCAGAACCGGGCCAAACCGGTAGCATACCACCACTGGTGTGCATGCACGTATAAGTGTGCGCACTGGCCAGCCACTCACTGATCTAAAGTCATGCTTGGTTCAAGAGGAACTTACCTTCTGTGATGCCATCTTTGGAGTCCCTTTTTATAACGACGTAATTTGTTTTCCTCTTTTCTGTAACCAGGTCAATTCCAGGACTTCTCTCTCCATCACCCTGACTATGCCCGTCTGTTCAGCACGTACCTGCGTCCCCCTGCAGCCTGCGCTCTGCCCAAGCCTGCCCAAGCATCCACTTACGCTAATGGTGTCTCTGCCATTTCCCCCAAAAGCAAGGGTGACTGAAGCCCCTCCCCTGCCTATTAAGCCATGTGTATCCAACCACCGTGAGAACAGCCCCCCCCCCCCACACACACAGCCATGCCACACACCTTTGGCCACCACAGAGACCCCCATTCCTTGCTTGGTCCCTGCTGTCAGGGTGAGGTTAGGCGGACTGGGGCCAAGATTCTCCCCCCCTCCCCATCTCAGGGCCAACGAAAATGGGGAAATCACAGCCGCAGTTTTTTGGGGGGATTGGGGCTTCTCTGGGTTTACTTTAAAGTTTTGTTTTGGGGCGAGGGAAAGGGGCTAGGATTTAATCCTATCCTTTATTTTACGTTGTTGAGTTTCGTTTTTGTTTTCGTCAAGAGGAAGGATGAACCGAAGGATGAGATAGCATTGTTTTTGGGGGGTTTCATCTTCTGTTTTGTAAAATATAAGAAAGTGCTATTTTATATATAAGATAA